CTAGTTTACTTTAGCTATTTCCATAGCATAATCTCGTATGGTATTTTGCTATGGGGGCACGCAGCTGACACTGAAATTATATTTGTTTTACAGAAGAGGGCCATAAGAGCAATCTATGACTTAAAACCTAAAGAGTCGCTCCGACATATAAAAGTAGTTTTACAAAAATAAGTGATATTCATTCTGTAAATACTTGGAACAGACACAAGGTAGTAGTACCAGTTACTCGACTCCACCGAGTCAGTAATTCATTCTTGGGGCGATGTATACGCTTTTACAACAAAATTCCAGAAAATATAAAAAAATTGACCTGCTCAAAGTTCAAAAACTTTATTAAACTAAGTTTATTTAAAAAGGGTTATTACAATATTAAGAGATTTATGGATGATAATAACCCCTGGGAATGAGCTATTTCTAATTTGTTGTGTAACATACATGATTGTAAGCTGTTATTTTAAAAAAAAGTCCCGCTGGGTTTCTTGCTGGTTCTTCTCAGGACAGAGGAATTTTTTCGAACCAGTGGTAATTAAGTAAGAGAGTGACTTTCAATAAGTATTATTTATAATCTATATTGAATAAAAAAGTTTCTGTTTCTGTTCTATTCTACTTGGAAGAAAAGGCCGAATTCTTCCTCTAACCTCGTCAACGACCAAGTTCTTTCTGATCGGCTTGACACACTGGAGGTACGTAAAGATGTTGCATCTCTTTGCATATTCTATAGTATCTACCAGGGGGGATGTTTAGAGAAATTCTTCGGACTAATCATCCAGCTGCTAAATTTCACCATCGCACATCGCGACAAAACTCGCGTTAAAATCTATACCATCCGTATGATTGGCGGTCATCACTGTGCGATTTACTAGAAGTTTTCTTCCTCGCACAACTTTTTTTGCGGAATCAACTAACACTAACGATGCGACTTAGGGACTTGAGGGAGGGGAAAAAAGCATACACTTTTTTGGAAGGCAAGCAACGCATCTGCAATTCCCCTGTTGTTGCAGTTTTTCATAGGTAGCGGTAGTCACTTAACATTCCATGAGCCAGACGTTTATCCCCTCTTCTATAAAAAAGTGGCTATTGCAGCCCATGAATACCTGCAATCAACTCCAACATACATACATACATATAATCACGCCTCTTTCCCGTAGGGGTAGGCAGAGACCACTTCTTTCCACTTGCTACGATCCTTACATACTTGTTTCGCTTCGTCCACTTTCATTATTCCCTTCATACATGCTCTACGGTTTAGGGTACTCTTGACCTGGCCTTTTTTCAAGACGTCCCTGATTTGGTCTAGAAATGTCCACCTAGGTCTACCCCTTCCAACACTTTCATTCACACTCGCCTTATACACTTTTTTCGTCAATCGTTCTTCATTCATTCTGTCGACATGGCCAAACCATCAACTCCAAACAAAGAAGATTAAGACAGAGATGCTTGCCTCAGAGCCTGTCTATGGGCCACAGTTACCACTTACCACCTGGTGGACTGGGTGCTCGCTTATCATCCATATCCTATTAAAAAATCTAATTTAATAATCTTCTGCTCACCAGATGTCGCTAGTTGACAGTGAAGTTAAGTTTTTTTGTTACATAATGTCATGTAATTGAGAAATTAATTTTAAATAAAAGTTTATTAGTTTCTAGAGTATTATATTAATACACAAAACAATGTCTGAGTGGTTTGATCCTTAATTTTTTGCACATTTTCATCTCTTTTTTTTATTTTTCTACTTTTTTGAATATCTGTGGTTTGGTTTTTGATGAAGTGACGGGTCACCAATTTGCTGGTCTTATAGGACGAATGAGTAGAGTAGAATCAATAGAAACGAGTAGAATGAGTAAAATCGAGTAGAATAATCTAATATACAATAATTAATTTTTGTTTGTCCGTATTTTATACGCTGAAAGTGTTTTTACTTTTTATTTTTCTTTGTCATAATGTCCTATGTGTGTTGATATTTAAACCAGCCAGATACAAACAGTACAACGAAAGAGATTTTTCTTAAATTTTATACAAATAAAATACGAAGAATCTTTTCCCTGACCTATTATACTAAAAATTAACACAGTTTTAACCAGTAAAAATAACAACTTTAAAATATTTACAATATTAAGAATACAACAATGAATAAAAATCTTATTATTAACTAAATACGTAATTGGTCGTTAGAAAATCCTTGAAAGGAATTTTTGTGTTGTTTGATTCCTGGAAACGCGGGTGCCTTGCATTTCACGTAAACGGCGGAGGTATAAAACATCGTGGCTTAGTGGGAGGCCCCTGCGCCCCCTTTCCCTAAAGGGGGTCGCTTCTGATACGGCAGAAAGGCCCTCCAGGTCAAAGCTAGTCCCAGGTGGTGTTTAGTGGGTAGGCAGATAGGTTTCATGGTGAGTCCCATATAACCACGCAGCCGGCAGCGTATACCACGCTGCCGGCTGCGTGGTATACGCTGCCGGCTGTACGCTTAGAGCATTCACCACCTCCCTCCCCCTCTGCCCGGAGGGTAGCCCTTTACATAGGCTGCACTAAAAGTATCGGGAATGGAATATTTCCACTGTTCGTGTCATATTAAAATCTTTTTAATTGAAAACTCCTTGGTTACTCCTCTTAACAGTGGTAGAGCCACGCGGCAGCTTTTGCTGTCGCACGGATGGGCCGGCTCGAACCGGGGTGGTACCACGACCTCACAGAAAACCAGCGTGAAGTAGCGGTTTACCTCTGCGTTTCGCTTGGTGAGTGCAGGTGGCCGGAGGCCCTTTTTACTGGAAATGAGGCATTCCATCTTAATCCTCACGGGTGACAACGCATCTACATTTTGATTTGTAACAGAGGATAGATGTAGATGTCTATGGGCCGCAGCAACGACTTACCATCAGGTGGACTGTGTGCTCGTTTGTCACCCTTATCCTATATAAAAAAATATATATACATATATATATATATATATATATATATATATATATATATATATATTTTAAAAATCGAATACCATTTATTTATTTAAAAAAAGATTTTCGGTCTTGTCACAAGGTTTTGTCAAACTTGTTTAGTCGTTGAGAAAATGGAATTGACTCGAGAAAATTCAAGAGCGATGATTTATTATGACTTCCGAAGTGGTTTAACACAAAAACAGTGTGTTGACCGGATGATTTCTGCATTTGGTGATGAAGCCCCATCCAAAACCACAATTTATCGCTGGTTTGCTGAATTTCAACGTGGACGTGTCAAGCTCAGTGATGATCCCCGTCAAGGTCGTCCAAAAACTGCAGTCACCCAAGAAAACGTGGATGCTGTGCGTAAGCTGATTGAGAAAGATCGACATGTGACATACCGCGAAATTCAGACAACTTTAGACATTGGCATGAGTCAAATACAAATAATATTGCATGAACAATTAGGTGTAAAAAAGTTGTTTTCCCGATTGATACCGCATTCGCTCTGTGAAGAGCAAAAAGCGGCTCGCCTTACTTGGTGCGTCAGAACTCTCGAAAGATTCCACGCAGGATCCTCAAATGCTGTATACAACATCGTATCAGGTGACGAATCCTGGATATACGCGTACGAACCCGAAACAAAAAACCAGTCACGAGTTTGGGTGTTCGAAAATGAGTTAAAGCCAACAAAAATTGTTCGTTCACGGAGTATTGCAAAAAAAAATGGTGGCCACGTTTGTCTCCAAAACCGGCCATGTTACGACTATTCCTCTAGAGGGACAAAGAACGGTTAATGCAGAATGGTATGCTAGCATTTGTTAGCCACAGGTCGTTTCTGAACTCCGTAAAGAGAACTGCAACCGCCGCATCATCCTTCATCACGACAATGCGAGTTCTCACACCGCACACAGAACAAAAGTTTTACAAAAGAGTTGTACAGCCCCGACTTAAGCCCTAATGATTTCTATACTTTCCCTAAAATAAAGAATAAATTGCGTGGACAGAGATTTTCATCACCTGAAGAAGCTATGGACGCCTACAAAACGGCCATTTTGGAGACCCCAACTTCCGAATGGAATGGTTGCTTCAATGATTGGTTCCATCGTATGGAAAAATGTGTTAAATTTCGCGGAGAATAATTCGAAAAGCAATAAATACATTTTTAAATAGTAATGTTGTGTCACTTCATTGATTTCCGAAATTTTCAGTGCCGCCTCGTACTTTGCTTCTACGCGCAAAAAAAATGGGAGCCCCCCATTTCTTCCGAGAGCGCGCGTCGGACAGATCTCGATCTTCTTTCTACTGGACGTTAACATCTTCGTAAAACGGCTTCTTAAAGCACAATATCTTGCTACATGCTGATAAAATAATAGCCCTTTTCCGAGCTGACTTTTATATGCTTCACGATATGTTGAGTGTAGTTACGGGTTTATTAATTTCTAATCTAATTAATAAGATATAACAAATAGTATAGAAAGAAACATTAATCGTTGCATTTATCGAACAAATTAACTTCCTCGCTATTAAATCTGTCAAATATTACACCTGATTTTTAAGTGGCGCCGCCCTGGTAGCGTGAAAAGTTATGCATGCCCTCATAATGAGTTCCATGTTATACCTACCCATGTCAATATTATTTCAAAATATATTCAAATGTATCATATGTAGCTGTAATTATTAATTATTATATTTAGTTTAGCCTAATTCTCTAATTCCTTCTCAGGCTACAATAAATTATAATCTATTTTATTTTGATTTCTTATTAAAAATACCTATAAAAAATTAAGAAGATACACAACAGCAAAAAATAAATAAAAATTGGTTTCAAGCATTTTTCAGTTTTTCTCCCGAAATCAGAAACTCTGCCGAAAAAAAGCATTCGGGTATTCTCAACTTTTATGTATTCTGTGACTTTTATAGTGAGCAACACTTGCTTTCATCTTTCAATTTCATTTTGATTATAAGTATTTGGTATAACTAAAAAAAAAGTAAGAAAACTGAAGACTGAGTTTGTTCGCGAACAGTGATTCGCAATAATTATTTATAAAATAAAAATAAATCCAAACCATGTTATCCAGCCTAAGGTCTGGTGTTCAGGGGCTGGTACGTTGCGGAAAAAACAAACTATTAATTTGTCAATTTAAAGAAAATTACATAATACGTAATTGATGATTAGTTTTAGAAATACTTATTTAAAATAAATATTTCAGTGGCGTGTGTCTTCAAGGGCTTTACAAACAACTACTAACTTGCAGCATGATAGCTTATTTGTGCACCGAGATACCCCTGAAGACAATCCAAGTATTCCATTCGAATTTACTCCAGAAAACAATAAGGTCTGTGTCTGATTTTTCTTTTCAAACCTTTTTCGCAATAAACCTCTGTCAAGTTAATAAAAAAAAATAATAGAAAAACGTCTAAAAATCTTCTGTCATAGATATAATTTTGTGGTATTATTAATTGATGACCTATAACCTATCATACAACTTATTATTTTAAAAGGCTACATTTTATTTCGAATTTATTTCTTGCTACATTTTCATTGACTGACTGAATTTTTAACCTCTAAGGAAAATATTATTATATGCATCATATATTACAGATGTTTCAATTAATTTTCAATAAATTGAAAATTCAAATAAACCAGAAAAACTTATCTATACTTCAGAACTATATTCATCAGAAAAGTGCAAAGGACACTAAGTATAAACATTAATTAAAGTGAATTTGTATTTATAAATTTAATAAGGTGTCTTGTATTGATTAAAAAGGTACCTTATGATGACATTAGTAAATTATTTGCATGGCATTTTTCACCTTAAAACTCCTTAAAACTTTATACGTGGTAGAGCCATGCTGCAGCTATATTATGGTTGTAGCACGAATGGGTCGGCTCCACCGGGGAAGAACCACGCTCTCACAGAAAACCAGCGTAAAATAGCAGCTTAGCGCTGCTGTGTTTCGTATGGTGAGTGTAGAGAACCGGAGACCCTTTTTACTGGCAAAGAGGCATTCCATCTTAGTCCTCACGGGTGACAACGCATCTGCATCTTGAGTCTTTATTGAGGATAGATGTAGATGTCTATGGGTCACAGTAACCACTTACCATCACGTGGACTGTGTGCTCGTTTGTCACCCGATCCTATAAAAAAAAAAAATTCTCACTAAGAAGGCCCAAGATGTGATAGACCAAATCAATAATATAAAAAAACATGCCGTTTTGTGAATTATATTGTTTGGGTTGGCTATAGACTGCTAGTACTTGATTTTAATTATGTTTTCAGCTAGGAGGCTTGTCAGGGTTAAGATTGAACCTTTTATACTGTTTTTGGATGTCGGAAATAGGTTTTCAATTAATTATGATAAAAATTAATTTCTCTAAAAATTGTGTATAACAAAATGCAAATATGTTAATTTGGTCTATTATTATGAAGTATTAGTCTGGTACTTGATTTTAATTATGTTTTGAGTTTAGGAGTCTTTTCAGGGTTAAGCTTGAACTTTTTATACCGTTTTTGGATTTTGGAAATGTGTTTTGAATTAATTACGATAAAAATAAATTTCACTAACTAAAAATTGCATATAACAAGAAGGGTAACCATAAAAAAGTTAATTACTCAGATCCAGACAATTCATTTGTAGCTGAAGATGGGACTCATACACAACAAATTGATTTGCAGTGGAGAGCAATCAACAGGTTTTTCAGAAAACAAAATTATAACAATTCACATTGCATTGGTCCATTTACCACTATCATAACAGAGTTTAGGGCAACTTGACTTTATAGATAATATAGGTTGAATCTGTACTAAAACTGAATCAGCACACCCCGAATCCACATAGTCTTGTCTGCCATAGAGTGTTTTTGTAAAGCCGTAGGTGCGGAGGGAGAGCACCCCACCCTTTGTAGGTGGCTCACCTCAGCAGCCTTGACTTAATGATACCTCACACATATTGCTGGTATTTGCTACGCAAGAGCTAAGGGGCTGCATTTCCTGCAGCACTGAAACTTTTGCAAAGTAACTGAGTCAATATTCCTGAAGAAAAAAGTGAAGTTCTGATTTTACAAAGAAAATTATTACTCATAAACTATACAGCAAAGGGGGACGGGTCCCCTGGACCCTAAACTCCCCCTCCCCCTGTCCCCCTGTGCCCATGAATACCGAATGTCTATAGTTTTACATATTGTTCTTATTTCCAGCGTGTAGAAGCTCTTTTAGCAATATACCCTGAAGGTCATAAGAGAGCTGCTATGATCCCTCTTCTTGATCTTGCTCAACGCCAAAATGGTGGATGGCTGCCAATATCTGCCATGCATAAAGTTGCTGAAATATTGAAGCTGCCACGTATGAGAGTGTATGAAGTTGCAACATTCTACACAATGTTTATTAGGTATGCTATAGATGCATCATTGCTTTAACTATGCTGACACCATGTTTCTTAAATCAGTGTACGACAGCTACTACTTTGTAAGATAAAACTGCTTCGCATTATGTTAGAATGTGTTTTCCATTTAGTCATAGGATCATTTTCCTAAGATTTTTTTTTGTGTTGTGCAGATTGACAATTGCAGTACTAGGTGTTTTGCCCACTTGACACTGCTTGTCACTGTCAATCTGGGTATTTTATGCGTGCCATAAACAAGATGGTATAACCATGTATCGGAAACATTTTTTTTTAGGATAGGGTGACAAACGAGCACACTGTCCACCTGATGGTAAGTGATTGCTGTGACCCATAGACATCTACATATATCTATACAAATAAATAAAATTGAAGATCTGTTTGTAATGTCATAAAAACATCTGTACTAAATGCATATGAAAGTATATATGGTACTAATAACAAAAAATTATTTTTAAAATTTTTGTCTGTTTATACCGGCTAATCTCCGAAACGGTTGCACTAATTTTGACGGGACTTTCGCTGGCAGATAGCTAATATTATAAGGAGTAACTTAGGCTACTTTTATTTTAGAAAAAGAATTTAGGGTTCTGTGCAAAAAATTAAAACCAATGAAATCCAATCGTAATAAATTCCATGTGGACGAAGTCGCGGGGTTAGCTAGCCCTCAATAAAAATCAAAATGAGATGTGTTGTCACCTGTGATGACTAAGATGGAATGCCTCTTTTCCAGTAATAAGGGTCTCTGGTTCTGTACACTCACCATGGAAAACAACAGTATTAAGCTGCTATTTTATGCTGGTATTCTGTGAGAGCATTGTCCTTCCCTGGTTGAGCCAACCCATTTGTGCTATAACTATACTACTAATATACTGCATGGCTCTACTATGTATAGTACATATTTCATATTTGTCTTTTGGGATATCCATGGCATGGTATAGTGTGATGGATTCTCATACCTAGCCAACACATGACCAGAAAATTTTATAATCCTTCATAAATGAATATTTATATTAAATTTAAATTTTCAACAACATGTCTACTGACCCAACAACAATGTATCGTCAATTCGGTCGACAAACTTCCATCTTGAGCTACCCTTGCTGACTTTAACCACTCATTTCTGCAGCATAAATTTGTTTGTAACTCATTTTGTGTGTATTACTTAGAATATTCGAAGAAGAAAACATAGCAGCATTAAGCTGCTGTATTACGCTGATATTCTATGAGAGCATAGAATAGAATAGAATCATTTTATTCAATATAGATTACAATACATAATACTAATTGATAGTCATTTTTTACTTTTATTACTGGTTCGGAAAAAAAAATTCTGTCCTGGGAAGAACCAGCAAGAAACCCAGCGGGACATTTTTTTAAAAAGCACAATTTGCAATATAATATTTTTTACGAGGTAGAGCCATGCCGCAGCTATATTAATAGTATAGTTGTAGCATGAATGGGTCGGCTCGACCGGGGAAGGACCACGCTCTCACAGAATACCAGCGTAAAATGGCAGCTGCTGTGTTTCGTATGGTGAGTGTAGAGCCGGAGACCCTTTTTACTGGAAAAACAGCATTCTACGAGGGTGGATTGAAAAGTACTCGGCCTAACCAAGAAAATAAACAAATACTAAATCAGTTATATTTTTATTTTTCTACATAATCACCATCAAGTTCAATACACTTTTACCACCTCCCCTTCCAAGCATTTAGACCGTTGAAAAAAAATGATTCTTCCTTAGAGTCAAAATATGCATCTACAGCTGCTTTGACCTCGTCGTTTGTCGAAAATCTTTGACCTCCCAAGTGCTTTTTTAGGTTAGGGAACAGAAAGAAGTCTGATGGTGCCAGATCAGGTGAATACGGCGGATGCGGTAACAGTTCAAAGCCACAGTTGTGAATTTCAGCCATTGACTGTACTGACGTGTGAACACGGGCGTTATCTTGATGAAACAGGACTTTTCTTCTGAGCATTCCTCGACGTTTTTCTTTTATTTCCTCTCGTAAACGACGTAGTAAGGTGCAGTAGTAATCAGAGTTTATATTCTGATCCCTTTCAAGATAATCAATCATAATCACACCTTTCGAGTCCCAGAATACTGAAGCCATCACCTTATTTGCCGACAAAATCGACTTAGCCTTTTTAGGGGGTGGTGAACCAGGTCTTCTCCACTGTTTTGATTGTTGTTTTGTTTCCGGTGTACAGTAATGAACCCATGTTTCGTCCATAGTAACAAAACGATTCAAAAAATCATCTGCATCGGCTTCAAATAACTCCAAACAGTCGCGTGAAATAGTCAATCGCGTCCTTTTTGGTTCAACTGAAAGCAGTCGCGGAACCCACCTCGCAGACACCTTGTGGAAACCCAACTCGTTGACAATGATGTTTTGAGTTCGTTCATAAGAGATGCCTATAATCTCGGCTATTTCTCTAATTTTTAATCTGCGGTCTCCCATTATTAAATCAAGTACTTTTTTAATATTTTCGTCAGTAGTTGACGTCGAAGGCCTTCCAGAGCGGGGTTCATCTTTCACACTCTCTCTACCACGCTTAAATTCTGCTATCCATTTTTTGACGGATGAATATGACAGAGCACAATCGCCTAATGTACTGACCATGTCATCATGGATGGCTTTTGATGATAGCCCCTTCTTATGGAGGTACTTAATGACGGCACGCTGCTCGATTTGCTCCATTCGCGGAAATTATGTCCGATTACTTTGTTAATAAATTTATAAAATCACAACTAATTATCGCACACGTTTCGAACTTCACACAATGAACTAGTCTGAACTGAACTAAATAATGTGGGTAGATTTGATTTTTAGAATTGAATGGATCTGTGTTAGGCCGAGTACTTTTCAATCCACCCTCGTATCTTAGTCCTCACGACTGACAACGCATCTGCATTTTAATCCGCAAACGAAGATAGATGTAGATGTCTATGGGCCACAGCAACCACTTACCATCAGGTGGACTGTGCGCTCGTTTGTCACCCTATCCTATAAAAAAAAAATACAATTGTTATGAAAACATTTAGAAACACCATGGTAGCAATCACCTCATTCCCAGGGGTCATTATCAGTCATGTACTCTTTAGTAGTATAATAACCCTTACTAGACAATTTTTGCTTAATAAATACCTAATAAATTTAATCCTTTTGATAGAAAAGGTCTGCATATTTTCTGTGACTTTGTTGTAAAAGCTTATACATTGCCCCATAAAGGATTTACTGACTCTTTGGAGTCGAGTAACTGGTATAACTAACCAGTACTTGTTCTTAGTATATACTTTTTTTAATGTACATCACGATTTTATAATAAAATTATTTTTGTTTTTTGTGTATCATAAGAAGTGATAATTTTTTTCATAATTTCTTACATAATTTTATACTTATTTTCCAGACGACCAATAGGAAAATACCATGTCCAAGTCTGTACAACAACACCATGTTGGTTGCGTGGTTCTGATGCAGTACTTAATGCAATCAAGGAGGCCACCGGTTGTGAAGTTGGAGGCAACAGCCCCTGTGGCAAATTTTCTCTATCAGAGGTAACTATGTTCCTAGAAAAAAAAATGCACAATGTAACATGAATGTATTTTTAACAAGAAAAGGTTACAATAGTCCACCCATTAGTAAATGTTAATTTTTAAATGGTAGAGCCACAAATCATTATACATTAGAGCCTAATCCGAATGATCCTCTGCATGTGCAAGCCACTGTCTCACGGAATATCGCAGTGCCGATCAGAAGAAGATCTGCGGTCCATTGAAAAAGTTTCACTATTTTATACATGTCGCCTAATTGTACAGCCTTAATTCAACAAATGGATCAACATGTAATGCACAACATTAAAGTCATATACAAAAAAAAATATTCATTCAGAATGTACATTATCTGAAATTTGATTGTTGTTCAACCTTTCCACCCCAAGTACAGTTTAACAGAAAATATATTCATACTTTAACATATTATTGATTAATTTTCAATAACCACAAACTTAAACAAAAAATCATATTATGTGTTGCATTTAAGCCGAATTAAACTGCCTCGTTTTAAATAATAATGAGTAATTTATAAATTCTGCAATATGTCCAGGAAATGACCAACACTAATTTCATTATTGAGTAGACATAAGTATAAATTCGTGTCTTTTATGTACATTACGTTTGCTAAATTTCTAAATTTCTTTGTTACAACAGATGTGTTAGCAAAAGCTAGGTGTTTTTTGCAAACAATCCAAAAACTTTACTAAATTTGGATATTTGTCTTTAATTTCATTTTTAATTGTTTTATGCCAAGATCTCGATGAATCTGTAGTTCTGTGAGACACTCCGAATTAATTCCAAACAGCTACATAATTTTTAGGATAATTAATAGAATCAGGTGTTACTTTGCGGAAGTCCATTATATTAAAGTTGACAAAAAATTACTTTGTGTACATCCGCTCGATAATATAAAATGATGTGTCTTACCTAGTATGAAGAGCACCTCCCGCCCTCCCTCAATTGCGTGCACTATCCCCGTTACCACTAATCCCAGCACCACTACTCCCAACACCACTACACTAGGAAAGTGATCTTTCCTTTCACATAATTTTTGTCCTCGAGTCATGATTTTCATATTAATTCGCAAACGCCATCATATTATCATCATTATTCAATGACGTAAATTGTGTCACATCGAATGATATGTAATTGAACAATTAAAAGTATTTCAGTTTTGACCTTTAAACAAGAAGTATGTATGTATGTATATAAGTATGCTAATGTCTACTAAGTAATTTTAGGCCAGTTTATATTATGTTTGTATAAACGACTACACAGCCGAGGGAGAAAATCGGAAGAAAAATAATATACGAATTCCGATTATCCACCCCGTCTGGCTTAGATAAACGAATACGCGTTTCCGACTATCCACCCTAGGGTGGATAAACGGAATAACCCAAAGAAATCTTGAAAGCCTTTGTGGCCCTCGTTATTCAAACCAGAGGAAACTTCTGGCCAGGATCTGGATGACTTTAACCCTGAAGATGATATAATACCTACATACTGTAATCCGAATGCCTCATTAATCCGAACAGGATGTAAATTTTGGGTGTTCGGTTTATCAAGGCCCTACTATATATCATTTCATTTGTCCTAATACTGCTGTTTATATTATCGTTGTAATACTGCTGTTTTCGTATGGTGAGTGTAGAAAACAAGAGACGCTTTTACTGAAAATGAGGCATTTCAACTTAGTCCTCAGGGGTGACAACACGTCTGCATTTTGATTTTTAATCAAAGATAAATATAACTGTCAATGGACCACAGCATTTACTTACCATCGGGTAGACTTGTTGGTCATCCTAATTTTATAAAAAATGTACACATAAACACCTGTCTCCTATCTTTAAATATGAACAAACAAAAATTATTTTTTATATATTAGATTATTAAATTAGAGCCAAGTCCCGTAATACCTCTGAGGCTAAGCACTTTCAGTAAATTTTAAATTACACCAGCAGTTGATCATAATGAGGTGATCGCTACCATGATGTTTCTAAATGTTTTCATATTTAATCATACATGCTCGACGGTTTAGGGTCCTCTTGACCTGACCTTTTTTCAAGACATCCCTGATTTGGTCTAGAAACATCTGCCTAGGTCTACCCCTTCCAACACTATCATTCACACTCGCCTTATACACATTTTTCGTCAATCGTTCTTCATGGATTCTCTCGACATGGCCAAATCATCTCAGCATACCTTTCTCAATTTTTGTCACTACATCTTCTTTCAGACCACAACGTTTCCTTATCTCACTATTTCTTATCCTGTCACTCAGTTTAACTCCTATCATACTTCTTAACGCTCTCATCTCAACTGCATTTATTCTGCTTTAATGTTTCTTCTGCCATACCCAACTTTCACTTCCGTACACGAGTGTCGGAACCAATACCCCCTCATGCATAGCAAACGAGCCTTGATAGACACCTTCCGACTGCTCATAAAGAAGTGCAAAGCTCCATTCACCATGTTTCCTGCATTCACTCTTCTTTCGATATCACTATCACACTTTCCATCTCTCGTAAACTTTGAACCCAGTCAGTTAATGGTATACACATATTATATTGTAAATTAATGTTTAAAAAAACCGTTGGGTTTCTTACTGGTTCAGGACAGAGGTTTTTCCGAACCAGTGATAAAATCATAAATTATTTTCAATAAGTATTCTTGTGTCCAATATTAAATAAAAATTATTCTATCCTATACCATTCTGGGGTGGGTACAGCTCACCCGGCCCCCTCTATACATATATGCTAATGCCCATTTTATGTCATAATAGTTAAATTAAAACATTATTTTTACTTTATAGGTTGAGTGTCTCGGGGCTTGTGTAAACGCGCCTATGGTGCAGGTTAATGACGATTACTATGTGAGTATATTGTTTTTATTTACTTAAGTAAAATACAGCTTTATATTATTATGCACTAGTTCTGTCGCTATAAGATAAAAGGGCGCGTCTAAATTTTTTCAGAAGTGAAGTGTATTCGGAGCTATTTAAAGAGATATTTGTTGGTTCTAGAATACTAGAATATTTACCCTTTTAAATATGTTTTATTTGCAATATTATTTTAGACAATTAACTTTTATAATGGTTACTAATAATGCACAAAAGTCAATTTCAGAAATAAATTACGTTTTTTTCTGAAATTGTTAATTATTTGTTTTTAACTCAGCCCTACTCTTTGTAGTTGCGTACATTTTAAGTTACGCAAAAACGAAGCCGAAACCATGCTTAACTTATTGTGAGAACACGCATTCACATCATCATCATAATTTTTTTTACGTGGTAAAGCCATGCTGCAGCTATATTAATAGTATAGTTCTAGCACGAATGGGTCGGCTCCACCGGGGGAGGACCACGCTCTCACAGAATACCAGCGTAAAACAGCAGCTTAATGCTGCTGTGTTTCGTATGGTGAGTGTAGAGAACCAGAGACCCATTTTACTGAAAAAGAGGCATTCGATCTTAGTCCTCACGGCTGACAACGCATCTGCATTTTAATTCGCAAATGAAGAGAGATGTAGATGTCTATGGGCCACAGCAACCACTTACCATCAGGTGGACTGTGTGCTTGTTTGTCACCCTTATTCTATAAAAAAAATCATCAGCATTTAAAATCATTTGCAACCAACAACGTGGTTTTAGGTACATATTATGTGTGGCTCCTGCATTGAACTTTTACGGGCTGTTTAAGACAGAAAAGAAAGATGTGTGCGTGAGTGCGTGTCATGAAGTTGAGCATGGTTTATGTACCACTTGAAAATTACTCAACAGTGTCTTTCTTTTTTGGTCAAAATTTTAAAAATAAGAGAGTTGATACCATTGTATTGACTGACCTTGTTAAATAACGCATATATGACTGAGAGATAATTACATACTCAATGTAGAGACTAAAAAAAAATTAGAGTAATTGTTCCAAACCATAGAGTAAAAAAAAAACAATAAAAGAATACATAATATGTAACACTTTTTTCCATACATTAAAATCTAAATAATACCTACAATTAACATTGGTTTAATATCCTTAAATAATAAAAGTGAAACTGGGACAAGGAGTTTAAAAATTAATTCCACACATTTTAACAGTGGTTGAGCCACGTGACAGCTTTTGCTGTCGCACGGATGGGCCGGCTCGCACCGGGGTGATACCACAACCTCACAGAATACCAGCGTGAAGTAGAGGTTTACCTCTGCGTTTCGCTTGGTGAGTGCAGGTGGCCAGGGGCCCTTTTTACTGGAAATGAGGCATTCCATCTTAGTCCTCACGGGTGACAACGCATCTGCATTTTGATTCGCAAACGAGTATAGATGTAGATGTCTATGGGCCGCAGCAACCACTTACCATTAGGTGGACTGTGTGCTCGTTTGTCACCATTATCCTATAAAAAAAAACCAAAACACTGGAGCAGTACAATCTTTTCTTCTTTACTGGTTTTTTGAATGGTCATTTAAACAAAACAAAGTATCCAACTTTTTATATTTTACCCCTAAATACGAGGGTGGCACTGAAAATTTCGGAAATCAAGGAAGTGACACAACATTACTATTTAAAAATGTATTTATTGCTTTTCGAAGTATTCTCCGCGAAATTTAACACATTTTTCCATACGATGGAACCAATCATTGAAGCAACCATTTCATTCGGAAGTTGGGGTCTCCAAAATGGCCGTTTTGTAGGCGTCCACAGCTTCTTCAGGTGTCGATCTTCCTCAATCAGCTTACGCACAGCATCACCGTTTTCTTGGGTGACTGCAATTTTTGGACGACCTTGACGGGGATCATCACTGAGCTTGACACGTCCACGTTGAAATTCAGCAAACCAGTGATAAATTGTGGTTTTGGATGGGGCTTCATCACCAAATGCAGAAATCATCCGGTCAACACACTGTTTTTGTGTTAAACCACTTCGGAAGTCATAATAAATCATCGCTCTTGAATTTTCTCGAGTCAATTCCATTTTCTCAACGACTAAACAAGTTTGACAGAACCTTGTAACAAGACCGAGAATCTTTTTGAAATAAATAAATGGTATTCGATTTTTAAAACCAAGGACTTTTCAATTAAAAAGATTTTAATATGACAGGAACAGTGGAAATATTCCATTCTCGATACTTTTAGTGCAGCCTATGTAGTAACCTATTTGAATGTATGTAAAATAAAATATTTTTATTGGACCTAAAAATAAACTTACTTTGTTCTTGTGTGACTTCACAGGAGGATCTAACTGTTGACGACACAAAAGAAATAATCGAGAAGTTGAAGAGGGACGAAAAACCTAAGCCAGGCCCAAGGTATGAATAGCCGTTTATATTAGGTTGATCTCATAAGTTAGTTTGGAAATCTAGCTATAGCATTCATTATAATATAATTATATTCATTATAATAAATTCTGAATTTTTCACAGGGTAGGACCACACTCTTAACAAATACCAGCATGAAATATCAGCTAAATGCTGCAGTGTTTCATATGGTGAGTGTAGAGATACAGAGACGGTTTTCATTGGTAAAAGACATTCCGTCTTAGTCCTCAGGGGTGACAACACATTTGCTGTTTGTTTCACTTACCATCAAGTACACAGGACTGTCAGCTCCCGTGTCATTTGCAGTAAAAATGGGCTCCGGTTTTCTTCACTCACAATGTGAATAACAGCAGCAATAGAGTGAGAGCGTGGTTCTACCCCGGTAGAGCCGACGCTTTTACCGGAAAAGAGGCATTCCATCTTAGTCCTCGCGACTGACATCTGTATTTTGATTCGCAAACGAGGATAGATGTAGATGTCTATGGGCAACCACTTACCATCAGATGGACTGTGCTCACTTGTCAACCTTATCCTATAAAAAAGTTCTCCCAATGAATTATATTTATAATTTAATTCATTGGGAGAACTTGCAACTATAAAATTAAAATTTTAAATAAACTAAAAAATGTATAATATTAAATTAACAATGTAAAGAAAGGTTCGATTATTTGAATATTTTTTAATGATTTTTTTTTTTATTCAATATACATTACATGTGTAATTCTTATTGAAAGTCATTTTTTACTTTACCACTGGTTCGAAAAAAACCCTCTTATTCATTTGTTTGATTATTCACTTTTGTGTGATTATTCACTTTAGCATGTATTTTACGATTGTGTGATTATTCACTTTAGCATGTATTTTAATCATCCAATCACTACCGTAAGGTACATAATATAACGACATATATTTGCAACAACGTCAAGCAAAAAAAGTTGAACCTGTATATATTTTTTTAAATATTTTGCTTTGTTTGTTTGACAGATTCAAATTCAAATTAGTGATATAAAGATATACATGTTTTAATGAAATACAGATTTTATGTATCTATAGGCTATCTTAAATCGTGTGAGTACGCTTGTACAAAGTTATTGTGGAATAATTAATGTGAAACGTCAAAAGGTATTTCTTATGCCTCCTCTACACTACTCGCGAAGTAGATCGAAGTTGGACGAGGCGAATAGTGTAGAGAGGTACTTCGATTCACTTCGTCCAACCTCGCTTCGCCTCGGGCGACTTCCGATCGCTGTCGGTTTTTTGCGCCAGAGTCAAAGGACTTCGCGAAGTACCCCGAAGTTACACGAAGCGTCTCACTACACTACTCGGCGTACGCCAGTTATGAATATTTTTTTATATATAAATACTAAATATGTAACTTTCTACATTATTATTTATTTAGTTAACGCATTGACATCGTACTGTTCACACAATTAGGTACATATAGCAGCTGCCTCTTGAACGTCATTCATGTTAACGGTGCGGGAGACTCAAGACGACCGAGCTCTTCGCGAAGTAGCACGAGTGTGTGGTCACGTTTTTCGGACTGCAATCTACTTCGACGAGCACTTCGTCGAATTTACTTCGCGAGTAGTGTAGAGGAAGCATTAGATTTAGTGGAGTATAATGAATGCACAAACAAACAACTGATGAAATTTTGTATTCAGATAATGTTTTTCTTTGCAAATGTATTCAAATAGATGACAGCTGGTAGTCTTTAATAATACATAGTTAGTCTTTGATTCGTACCACTCCTTAAACGATTATTTTTATGTAAGTGGAGGCAAACGAGCATGCGGCTCATTCTGATGACATGTGATTATTCTGTTCTGTTTTTCAAACTGTACGAGTGTAAGTTGCTGAATAAATGCATGTCTACGATTACCGTTACCCATGAATATCTGCAACACCGGGGGAATTGTAAGTGCGTTCCCGGTCGTTTACAAAGGAGTTATCGACTTTTATTATAGGTCCCTAAGTCGTTTTTGTCCAGAGAAACTGCTGGCTACAGTAAATTCCACAGTTTGGTCATTCGAGGCAGAAAATTCCGCGTAAATCGCATAATAGTGGACCTACCATACAGATGATGATGATAGAATTTCGAATTCTGTCGTAGTGTACGATGGTGGAACTAGCAGTTAGAATTTATCCGAACATTCCTCATGTTTTATCCGCCAAGCAGCACTGCTGTGTTCCCATTTAAAGAGTAAGAGACAGCCACTAAAATTGCTAACTATGATTAGTTTTAAGTTCTTGGAGACAAACATGTAAAACAGCTAGCAGCACCCAAACACTAGTTGTTTAATAATATAGGAGGTTGGCGGTGTTTCACCCCAGTGCCTTGGAATGCACGTAAAGCCGTTAATCCTGCACCTTATCTCTCTCCGATAGTGTCGGATTACCGTCTCATTGAACTATGAAAGTGAGGGAATAGTGGGTGCACCAGTGCTTGCGCATACGCTCGCGCACTATAACCCTGTCCTGCGCAGGTGGCTAGTCTTCGTTGAGACCGGTCGTCGTAGCCAAAATTTGGTCTGGAAAAAATTATTATTATAATATCTATTATTATCTTCTTTATCTATATAAATAAAATGATAGAGGTTTGCAGTTGTGCGCGCATCACGGAAAAACTACTGGATAGATTTCAATTAGGTTTTCTAAGTTTTATTTCTTAGACACTTGGCCTTTATCTAAAAAAAAAAATATTGCGATGTCTTCATTTAATATAAAGTTAATTAATTAAATAAAAAGTTTTAAGAAACAACGATTTTATAAGCACTATATGATGTGTGTTTTCTTTTTCAATATATCAAGCAATACGAGCAGAGTCGCGGTTATCAGCTATTTATAAATAAAAGTAAAAGAAAACTCATCCCCACTACCATTTTTTTGTTCCAGGAGTGGCCGATACGCATCGGAGCCTTTGGGCGGTTTAACTTCCCTCACCGAAGAGCCTACAGGACCTGGTTTTGGTCTACAAGATGCCCTAAAGGCTTAGATCGAGTAGTTTTGTTTTGTAAAGATTTATTTAACTACTAGGAAATATCGAAATAAAGAAATCATGTTACCAACTTTGTTTTTTATCTTTTACAAGTGTAATGCTACCAAAGAAATTAAAATGTTTATGGAGCGGCTATTAGAAACATTGTCATACAAAAACGTTCATCTCGGACGTCAGTAACGTTATCTTGCTTTAATTAGCAAGACACGTATTAAAATATTTTTTTTTAAAACGTTACCCCCACACTATGATTTTTTCCTGTGTGTAGAATAAACTTCAGCCCATTCGGTACATTTTCTTCTAAAATAATTTTCTTTTAGCCAACGTTATTGCACCGTGTCCGACCAAAGGTCGATTGCTGGCCAAAGCCTAGGCTGAGGCCGAAGGCTTATAAAAAATTAGGAAATAAGAAACTCAGTTCAAGATAGGCTAAAATTAATAATATAAATTAATTTAAAGCTTTTAAATTAAAGAATTATATTAAGTGTGTAATATAAGAAGGTAACTTTAATTATAGTAGCCAGAGATTTACAGTGCTCATTCCGGGCAGCAGACAAGAAACTTCTTATGTTTATTACGAATGTGCATAACTCTGCGACGGAAAGTGACATAATAAAATATATTTGTAATAAAACTCAGGAAACCGTGTCACTAGAAAGAATAAATATGAAATATGATAGAGGACACAAGGCTTACACATTTTCAATATCAGAGGTCAATCTGCCAAAATACATGGATGAAACTCTATGGCCTGAAGTTGTCATATTTCGACGTTTTGTGAGTTTCAAACACAGGAATAAGAACGGTGCGCGCCCTATTGGCGCCGACGGCATAGTCAAACCAAATAATGGATAGTGGCCCATATCGATTTGCTACATTTAACTGTAAGAATGTGAAACGCTCCATTAATGACGTCATAGACTTATTCCATACGTGTGACGTGATATGTCTTCAGGAAACTTGGATTGTGAATCATGATATACCCTTTATTGGCACGATTGATAGCGGCTTTGTTTATGTGGCGCGATATCAGCGGTCGATACGTCTGCAGGTATCCTGCGCGGGCGCCCCTATGGCCGCGTCGCGTTGTTATGGCGATATAGCGCGTTCCAGGAGGTGACAGTATTAAATTGTGAAAATTCACATATTTGTGCAATTAAAATTATAACAAATGATAGACCCCTAATTGTGATGAGTGTTTACCTGCCTACAAACTCTGTCGACAATTTACAGGAATTTACAGACTGTTTGAGTGCGGTAAGCGCTATTATTGACGAATATGGAATTGAATCAGTGTTTATTTTAGGCGACTTCAATGCGGACCCGGGTGTGTTGTATTACAGTGAACTTGATAGTATTTGTAATGACCAGTTATGGTCATGTATAGATGTAGATATGCTAGGGCTAGACTCTGGTACTTTTACTTTTATTGGTGACGTCCACGGGACCAGCAGTTGGCTGGATCACACTCTCGCGGCGAGGCAGGCTGTCGTCGATGTAGATGTCAAGTATGATACTATTTGGTCAGACCATTTCCCACTTATAATTAAGTGTAATTTAAATTTAATAAATCCTAAGATCTCTGCAAGCATAATCAATGTTAACAAAGACGTAGTATGGGGTGTAAAAAGTGCGGAACAAATCACAGTGTATGCTAAAGAGTGTCATAATAGGTTAAAATTGGTAGACTTTCCTTCGGAGTTTGCAAACTGTGCTGACCGATTTTGTAATGACCGTGGCCACAGGCGTGTTCTGGATAAGCTGTACTCTGACATTGTGACCGCTCTCCAAGGCGCGGCGACGAGGAGGGACGGGGGTGGCCCGCGAATAGCTGGGTGGAACAAACACGTCAGTGAGGCTCACAGAGAGGCCAGATCTAAATTCAATGACTGGGTATAATGTGGAAGACTCAGGTCAGGTTTTCTTTACAAAGAAATGTGTGATAGCATAAGATTGTTCAAGTCCCGATTAAAATGGTGCCAAAATCATCAAGACCAAATAAAGTTGGCCGCTCTTGCTGTGAAACATAGCAAAGGAGATTTTCGCGGCTTCTGGAAGTCCACCAGTAAAATAAATGTACGGCCTGGCCTTCCTGTGTGCGTCAATGGCATGAACAATCCCAATGAGATTGCAAATCTTTTCAAAAGAGCCATTTTTCTGTAAAGTCTGTTGGATCCGGTAGTGGAAGTGTTCAGCACTGACATGGACACACAAACAGTGAGGACTAGTTTCCTGGTAAAAAACGTAACAAAAGCTATAGTAGATATGTCAGGAGGCAAGTCCCCGGGACATGACGGATTTAATGTTGAGCATTTGCAACATGCTGGACCTCACCTAGCTAGGGTCTTGGCTTTGTTCTACTCTCTGTGTGTGAGACATTCCTACCTGCCCGCGGATTTTATGAAAACCGTGGTGGTACCTATAGTGAAGAACAAGACGGATGAATTTTTTTTATAGCTATAGGGTGGAAAATGAGCACACAGTCCACCTGATGGTAAGTGGTTGCTGTGGCCCATAGACATCTACATCTATCCTTGTTTGCAAATCAAAATGCAGATGCGTTGTCAGCCTTGAGGACTAAGATGGAATGCTTCTTTTCCAGTAAAAAGGGTCTCCGGTTCTCTACACTCACCATACGAAACACAGCAGCATTAAGCTGCTATTTTACGCTGGTATTCTGTGAGAGCGTGGTCCTTCCCCGATCGAGCCGACCTATTCGTGCTACAACTATATTATAAATATAGCTGCAGCTTGGCTCTACCACGTATAAAAAGTTGATTGACAAGTGTAACTATCGGCCTATTTCTCTTGCCACCGTAATTGCAAAGGTGTTTGACGGTTTGCTCAACACACAGTTGAATAAACATGTAATGCTCCACTATAACCAGTTCGGATTTCGTCCTCGCTCATCCATTGAAAGCGCCATATTGTGTCTAAAGCAAACCGTCAAATACTACACTGATCGCAGGACGCCCGTGTACGCGTGCTTTCTCGACCTATCCAAGGCCTTTGACCTGGTGGCATATAACCTGCTGTGGGACAAGCTGCAAAGCATAGGCTTGCCACAGGAACATATCAGCTTGCTCCAGTACTGGTACGCAAACCAGACCAATAGTGTAAGGTGCGCGGGGGTAATGTCGGATCCGTATCGGCTTGAGTGTGTAGTCAGGCAGGGTGGCTTAACATCACCAACCCTATTTAATCTATATATCAACGGGCTGATCGTAGCGCTTAGCAGTCTGCATGTCGGCTGCCACATTGACGATGTTTGTGTCAATAATCTGAGTTGTGCAGACGACATGGTGCTGCTGAGTGCGTCGGTCTGCGGCCTGAGGAAGCTGATACGGATATACATGTAGCCACGGATTATTGTATAATGTCAGGAAGAGTCAATACATGATCTTTGAGGCCGCTGGTGCGAAATGTCCTGATAATATACCTCAAATAAAATTAAATGGTGTACTTCTGTAAAGGGTTAAACAGTTTCAATATCTGGAGCATTTACTCACCGTCGACCTAAAGGATCTCGCTTATATGGATCGGGAACGGAGGGCGCTGTCTGTCAGAGCTAACATGATCGCTCGTAGGTTTGTGCGGTGTTCAAAGGAGGTTAAGGCTACGCTCTTCCGAGCGTTCTACTCGTGCAGCTTATGGGCTAATTACAGTAGGAATAGTTACAGCGTCCTCCGCGTCCAATACAATAATGCGTTTAGGGCGGTGATGGGGCTGCCTCGATTTTGTAGCGCCTCTGGTATGGTCGCGGATGCGCGCACCGATTGCTTTAATGCCACCATGCGCAAGCGGGTCGCGTCCCTGGTGCGTAGAATGCGGGCCAGCTCCAACACTGTCCTAGCGATGATCTCAGGAAGGTTAGACTGTTATATTATCCGGCATTGCTGCGACAGACATCGCATCGCAGAACACTTGCCTCTGAGAAAGTTTTTTTTTTATAGGATCGGGTGACAAACGAGCACACAGTCCACCTGATGGTAAGTGGTTACTGTGACCCATAGACATCTACATCTATCCCCAATAAAGACTCAAGATGCAGATGCGTTGTCACCCGTGAGGACTAAGATGGAATGGCTCTTTGCCAGTAAAAAGGGTCTCCGGTAAAGTTTTGATTGATCTCGTCTCCTGACTAATAAAAATGTGTTTTCTGTTATATACGAGGGTGGATTGAAAAGTACTCGGCCTAACCAAGAAAATAAACAAATACTAAATCAGTTATATTTTTATTTTTCTACATAATCACCATCAAGTTCAATACACTTTTGCCACCTCCCCTTCCAAGCATTTAGACCGTTGAAAAAAAAATGATTCTTCCTTAGAGTCAAAATATGCGTCTACAGCTGCTTTGACCTCGTCGTTTGTCGAAAATCTTTGACCTCCCAAGTGCTTTTTTAGGTTAGGGAACAGAAAGAAGTCTGATGGTGCCAGATCAGGTGAATACGGCGGATGCGGTAACAGTTCAAAGCCACAGTTGTGAATTTCAGCCATTGACTGTACTGACGTGTGAACACGGGCGTTATCTTGATGAAACAGGACTTTTCTTCTGAGCATTCCTCGACGTTTTTCTTTTATTTCCTCTCGTAAACGACGTAGTAAGGTGCAGTAGTAATCAGAGTTTATATTCTGACCCCTTTCAAGATAATCAATCATAATCACACCTTTCGAGTCCCAGAATACTGAAGCCATCACCTTATTTGCCGACAAAATCGACTTAGCCTTTTTAGGGGGTGGTGAACCAGGTCTTCTCCACTGTTTTGATTGTTGTTTTGTTTCCGGTGTACAGTAATGAACCCATGTTTCGTCCATAGTAACAAAACGATTCAAAAAATCATCTGCATCGGCTTCAAATAACTCCAAACAGTCGCGTGAAATAGTCAATCGCGTCCTTTTTTGTTCAACTGAAAGCAGTCGCGGAACCCACCTCGCAGACACCTTGTGGAAACCCAACTCGTTGACAATGATGTTTTGAGTTCGTTCATAAGAGA